AACACTATAATTTTTATTCGATAGTTTAATCCTTAAAAGAAGGTTTTTAATTTTATAAAAAAAGGGCTAGAACTGAAATAGATGGTTTGACAACGATTATTTCTGGATGGTTTCTTGGCGATTCGTCCGGTGGTGAAAAGAATGTATCTATACATTAAGCAAAAATTTTAGGAAAGAAACAACAACAGATTAAGAAGGAAAAAATGGTTTTTTTTATTTCATATCATTTGTTTAGCATTTTTTTGCTTAAGATAATTTTTTAGGTAAGCATGACTGATTTTCTTGTTGTAAGCGAACAAATTTGATGCTACTACAAAATCAAAAATTTGGATAAGGACAAGAAGAAGACGGAAGCCAAAATTCTAAGAACATAGAAAAGCAGATTAATTATAGATAAGGAAGGGATACAAGGAAATTTCTTTGTTTGTTATTTTTCGCTACCTTTTCCAGAAGCGAGGGATGACTACTTTAAGTGATGGTTAATGGGGCAAAAAAATAAAAAATTTCTAAAGAACAGAAGTAGAGGATAGAGGAGGAATGGTGGTTTTTGTTGTTGGCCCATATGATAATGGTCCATGAAAGATGGATTGCGTAATATGTAAGAGCAGCAAAATTCCTTCTTCAGGTCACTGTTGCGTAAAGCTAATACCCCAAACGTTCATCATAAAGAGAAAGAATTGGAATACAAGCGTTTTGGTGTTGCAAAAAAAAAAAAAACTTTTTTTTTTATTTTGCAATAAATTTGAATAAGCTTTTCCTACAGTACACTTCTTTTTTGCATTTTTAGCCTCACCTTATATGCCAAGTTATATGGAAGAAGGTCAAGCGTGTGTTGTATGTGGTGATGAGGCTACCGGGCTGCATTATCGGTAGGTGTCAAAGCTGTAGAAACTGCTAAAGTATCGTTATTTTGTTAAACGGCAGTTGTCTGATATAAAGCTGCCACTGAAAAAGCATAAAAATTTAAGACTGTTAAGCGTGAAATCTGTTGGAAAAATTTTACTAGGTCATAAATTTGTAAAAGAGGATGCAGTTTATTTTTTTAAACACCCATAAATTTTTAAACAATTGGTATGGTTCAGTTTTGCTTATGAATTATGGTTTCCACATGGTACAGTATAGAAATTTGAAATTATTTTAGTGCAATAACATGTGAAGGCTGTAAAGGATTCTTTAGGCGTACCGCACAGGTATCCACTTTTCGTTAATCCATTAATGCAAACAGCTGAACAAATTTTTGTATACAGCAGTTGATTGTTTTCTTCAATTGCATAAAGATATAGAATTTATTCTAGAATTTGTCATAATATTTCAACAAGAAACAGTTTAATTTTCTAGAAAAAACTGCAGTATAAATGCAATAATAATGAAAAATGCGAAATCAACAAAGCAACACGTAATCTTTGCCAACGATGTAGGCATCTGAAATGTTTAAGCTGTGGCATGTCACCTGAATGTAAGTTGCATACTTTTTACAGCAAATTTTGACTCTGTTCTCTGCCTGTGTACTGTTGTCGCTGACACAAAAAATTAAAATTTAGAACCATTACTTGTTTTAATCAGACAGCTTTTTCTTTACTTCATTTCTTGAAAGATTACTTAAAAGTCAGTCAAACAGTGGTTGTAGCAAAAGAAACAAAAGAAGAAAATTGCTACCGTTTGCTTTTGTTGGTTATTTTCTTCCACCGGTCGTTCCTTCTTTTTTCCGGTGCAATACTTTGTAAGAAACAGAGAAATGAACGATGAGTGAAAAAAAAAACAATAAAATTTGCAGTGGTCTTAAACGAAACAGAACGAAGTTTGAAAAGGCAGTTGATTGAAAGAAATCGAGTAAAACGAGAGATGGAGGAAGTTGTCAAGGTGCTGAAGTCACATTCGTTAATAGATCAGCGGATCCGTTACGAACCAATGACACAGTCAATAACCGCCAGCTACTGCCGATACATTGATGTCCCTCTTGGGGTCTGCTCTTTGATGGACTGTCTTTTTTTCGACCTCTAATTCA